GAGTCTTCTACTAAATCATGCCTGCTGGATGTCTAGCCTGACTTGAGGTGCATATTTCTGTACACATTTTGGGTAATGGGGCTTTATGAATAAAAAACCTTTATTTAATTAAAAAGTAATTATATAATTAGGCATGTGAATGCACATGCATGGTTTATTTAAGAATTCGTACACCGAAAACTCGTGAAACATGAAACACTCTCGACTGCGCATTCTATTGCGTAAGGCCAACTTGTTTTCACTGATGCCTTGTATCGCGATGTATCTAGACTATTAACGAGATTGTTGAGGTGAATTTCTTTCTACATTTATAAAGTTCTTTTTGCCTGGTGAACCACACTACGCTAAATATATCGTACAGAGATACGAGATGGACGAATTGCTGTTGATGGTTTGTCATTGAGTGCTGGGATGAGTTCAAGAGAAAGTTAGAGAAATTATGATTCAAACAGCAGCATTGAAAAACAATAAAATTCCTGGTAGTATAATAAAATCATTCTACAGTCGAAAATTAATATTTTTTCTTCTAACCCGCAAACATAACACTCTGTTTCGCAATCGCTAAGGTAAGATGATGCAATTACAGCGCTTGGTTCTTGATGGTGTTGTGCTTGTGTCGTGAAAACACTTTGCCGGCGAGACAGTGTGTGCTCGGCCGTCGTCAAGAGCGACATCGGCGGGCTAACACCGGCAATCACACGGCTGGTCACATTAAGGCGAGATACGATGCTTGTACTTCAGGATTAGATTCAGGGGTACGAAAAATCAAGAATGCACATAGATTTTATCAAGAAAAATCAAGAATGGAGAAGAAACCTTTTAGTTTTTCATTCCGAAAGATCCTGCCAGTCGCGAAAGTCAGACATGCAGTAAACCATAATTAATCTGGTAAAGGAGAAGTTGTGGAATCCCTAAAAGGATTGCTGTATAGGTGGCAGCTTATGGTTCGGTGGGTGAGTGACAGCAAGCAGACAGCGTAAATATTCAATAATTTATCACTTATATCGAATTGTTATTTCGTATTTAGTCCACGGACCATTATGAAAATATTGTTCATCAAACTGAAATTTAATATAAGAAGCGAAATTGAAGATTAAATAAACTTTTCTCGTCGAATTTCAGGCCGATATACTGTAGAGCCAATTTTTTTATGGTCAGAGAATATAAAAATGTTGTAAAGGTTCATTAGGTGCATGACTTGAGCAGGGAGATAAAGCCTGTGACTAATCACTCTCTACTCTCTGTCAAGCCTACTAGCCTGTATGTAACTTCTGTGAAGTCTCTCCTAAAATAAGACATCAAAACACGGCGAATGCGTTATTACCAAAACTGAAAGAAGAACATTTCGTTCAACACTGAGGAGATCTTTGTCTTTCTCTCGGAGTCAATAAACAAATTCATGCGACTGATTTAAACGGCAGTTAATTTTTTCATGAATTTTAATTGTCCAGTCCCTTTGGAACTCAAGATCCTGGTGGGAGATTTCCATGGTCTTCACGTGGGTGACTTAATGATGGGGTGCCCGATGATGTACAAATAATTAGAAAAAAGCTGGAACATAATCTAATATCCAAACAGAAATAATCGCTCTGATTGACGGATGAATAACATATACATCACGAATTAAAATTGTTGATTCCTGCATCAAATCTTTGCTTCGAACTTTTGTGTAACATAACTCTCAACCACACATTTAAAAGTATTTCTGTGACGGGGAAAAAATTTTTTGCTAATCAATTTTTACCCTAAATTCAAATATCAGAATTGCTGCGTAAGGTCTAATCAACGCGTCAGTGACGAAATGCTTTGTATGACAACAGATCAAATGAATAGGTGATTATAGAGCTACTTTATGATAATGATCAAAGGCACACTATAATAACTCACAACCACTCACTCTGAACAAACAATCCTGTTTGTAAACACGAGAGGCCCGTTGCTACTGAAAGACAGGATGCTTGGGGAATAATGTTTTTTTATCACGTAATAACGAAGGCAGTTTCACACGAAATTACAATTGTTCTGAAAACTTTTTCTTTTGCTTAACTAAATATCGACGTGTCTTTTTAGCGAGAACTTCAAACAAAGTTCCATTTAGCATGAAAAATTATTAGTTGCGAACTTAAAGCGTAACTTACTAAATTTGTGGGTAATTATAATTCTCTGTAATTTCTGTGAATGAACTAACGTTGAACATTTTCATGTTTTCTTTACGTATTAATACATATTATACACGGATAACATATTTTCTTTAAATATCATGACGTCATGTCCGTGACCTTTTGTTGCTTTCAAAAATATTGTTGATTCGAAAAATATATTTCAAAATATTTATGGACAAATTTACATTTTTAATAATTGTATGTTGTAACGAGACGAACATCGAATAAACTGCCGTTAAAAGTTAAAAATTGTACGAAATACTTACTATTAAGTTAATGTTTTTCAGAGCTTTTCCCTTCAAGAATTTGAGTACATGTGTAAAAAAAACCGTCCGTTTTACTGTCCCATTCGAGAAAATTCGTTGGAATTTGAAAAAATCCCTATAAGAAACTTGAAAGGTATTATTGTTTTTAATTTTTTTTCGCATTGATTCTTTTTTTGCGAAGGTGTTTTCTGCTGCGCATGGATAGCAATGTGACGTATCATGACAGTATTCTTAATGGATGGCTAATGGATCTTAAATAGCTATTGTATGTGGATTATATGGCTAATTTGGATCTTACATGGCTTATGTGGCTAACAGATCTTGTATAGCTCATGTGGCTAACGGATCTTATATGGCTTATGTGACTAATGGATCTTATTTGGCTAATGGATCTCAATTGCTACGCATGGATGGCCATACGGCGTATCACGCCATTTTCTTCGCCGTAAATCCAATCATTCGCCGTATTACTGGGCATATACATAATTCACGCACGTATAAAAATCACAACCATGCACAGATGAATAGTGATAATACAACCCCGAAGTTAGCCTCCTTCTGCGCACTGAATTTGCTATGAATTACCAGCTTTCATTTATCTTTCCTTGAATCTCAGCGGGTTCCTTGCTTTCTGTTGCATTGCTTCAAGAAATGCAGGTGCTTAACGTGACAGCCCTGCTCGCTTGTCATGCTTAATGCGTTGGGCAAGTGTACGACAAATTTACAGTTGAATGATAATCGAAAAATTAGGAACGAAATGCTTGTATTCGCACAATGGTATCAAAATAATTTAATCGATGTTCAGTAGTTGAAACAATTATATTCAGTTCAGAAAATTAAGAGAAATAATAATTCGAATAAGAAAAATTTTAATTAAAGAATTTCGCAGGTGTTCTATTCTAATTTGATGACACCTTGACCAGGCTGTGAAAAAGATTAGTAATTATCACGTCTGGCTAACATTTCACTTTCAGACTGAAGACAAACTATCACTTGTAGTTATAAAGTATTATGAGGGCTAACTTTTTGGAGCCACGGCACACTTAGAGACATCAATGAAGTTTTTATCCAAGTAGTGACGTTTTAAATAATAGAATAATAAATAAATAAATAAAAATTGACCGGACTATGTTGATGTAAACGTTTGCCAAAAAATTGAAATTTTGATGATTAAATCACAATAAAGTTAGTTGCTTGATTTATTTTCAGTCAACCATATTAAGAAGAGTAAATTAAAATTAATTAAAAATTAATCGATTTTAATAAGATAATAAAATAAAAAGAGCCAATATGTCGGATTCAATTGCAATGTTAACAAGAAATGAAAATTTTATTTGAATCACCAACTACAAGCTAGGCGCAGTTAGTATAAAATATTTATTATTCACGGAGTGGTTAGAAGTATGTTGTAAGTTCACCATACACAAAAAGATGAGTGAACACACAAATGCGAGAATTCGTTCTGCAACAAAAATATGAAATAAACTTTATTAATGTTATGCAATAAAAATGTTATTAATGGTATAAATGCTATGTAAAGGAAATGTTTTTAATGGTAGTAATTTTATTTAATGAATTATAAATGTAAAATATGCAATTCACCCAGACTTAGACCTCGTTTATTTTAACTTAACCCCGACGTGCTCAATATCCTTGTTACTACTGATACCGTCAAGCCCGTCCAACAAATATTGGATTGAGATGCATTGAAGAAAACTCTGCCAAAACAAGAGAATAGATGTCGTTAGTGTTCTTTATGTGTATATGTAATACGATACCTATGTTGCAGTTGTTATGCATCCGAGTAATTTAGAAGAAAACGTCATATGACAGTAAATAAACTTTTAACTTTTCTCGGAAATATTTATCATTAGTGATCTCATTCATATTTTGAGGTCAGAAAACAGAGGCAATTTAAGCTTTGCCGGACATCCCGCTGATTTAGAAGACAATTTTGGCATGTAGGTCGCAAGTGTTTTCGTGAGGTCATAATTGTGTTGTCTGGTCCGAGTTCTTTATAAAATGCAAGCGGAACGGCAAGTCAGTTGTGGTCCAACAGGCGTACTCGACGGCTTCTTTCCGTCGGTTTGAATGTTAAATAAATAGTATTGATTTTTGAACTATTCAAGAATATACAAATGAAAAAATATTCTTTTTTGGATCATGTAACAATTTCAGATTCTGTAAAAGTGTACTGAATTAATTAAAATTCTCACAAAACAACCAACTAAGAATAATTACTAAATATAATAGACTTTGGGGTTATAGTCGAAATATTTAATTATATTTAGTCATCATTTTTATATGGTAAAAATTTTCAAAGCGTCTGTTTTTAATTTCAATTTTCGATCTTGTTTTCATCGTATCAATGAATTTGATTATCTTTTGCATAGATTCCATAACCTTACTAATTACTTGAGTTATTTATATTTATTTGATCCTGATATTCATTTCTCTTCTGGAATAACATTGATTCATAATAACAATCTTGTAATTTAATTAGCATTGATCGTGTCTGTATATAGTATATTATTGTGTCAATTAATTAACTAACTATTAAGGCACAGGTGGATATCGCTGATCTTACTAATCGGAGTTATTAATCGATAAATAAGGAGCTAATCGTGTCTATTAATTTTGCGATAATAGTTAAGCTTATAAGTGCCTATTCTAAAGCTAAACATAAGCTAATACAGATGGCTCCCAACAATCATTGGTCGGTGCATGTTCTCTGGATGATGGTGGCCGCTCGGATGGTGAGTTCATATTTAAATACCACTAATACAGTTCTAGTTTTTAAATACCACTAAATATAGATACGAATTATCTATAAATATTTAAAATCTGACTAATGCTGTTTGAACTATAAAAAATTATTTCATTTAGAAGTGAACAAATCAGACATTATTTACAGCATTGATTGAAATAAATGGTTGAAATATACAATGATTTGTCTGAAATATTCATACAGTTCGCAGAAGAGAAAAGTAAAATGTAGTTTGATCGTTTTACAGACAGACTCAAAGTTAGTTGTATGGTCGACAATTTTTAAATTATGTATGATTTAACCTGTGTGTTTAAAATTTGAATTCTGTGTGTCATTGGTAATGCTTTATGAACCTGAAAGCTTTGTGATCTAGAGTTACATACAAAAGCAGAGCCTCAAGGCTAGATAACTCGTAAACAAAATTAACCAAAAATTAACCTCGTAAGAATTGTTTTAATTTAGTTTCTTTGTGATGCTTCAGATATTAGCAACGCAAGCCTCTCCTACGCCGGCTTCTCCTGCGTCAGCCTCTTCTATTCTGGACTGGCCTACACAAGTCTCTCCTACACCAGCTTTTTCTACGCCAGCATTTTCTACGCCAGTCTCTCCTACGCCAGCCCCGCTTACGCCTGTCTCTCCTATGCCAGTATTTTCGACGACAACCTCTCCTGCCCCAGCCTCTCCTACGCCAGTATTTTCTTTGCCAGCCTCTCCTACGCCAGCCTCGCCGGTCAACGTGACAACGGAGCTTGCAAGTCCACAAACGCAGGCCTTTTCAACCAGCAGCGGCAGTTACCTAATGCAGTTCGATTCATCCGCCTTATATTCAGGAATCCAAATCCAGGAGAACCAACTAATTTTTCCATATGAAAGTTTTTTTCCTAATTTATACGAAGAAAGACAAAAATTTCAACTCACGAGTTTGGATATTGACGCGTCTAAACTCCAGGGAAAGAATGGAAATATTTCGATCGAACATCGTGGAAAATCGTCGCATACAAATCGTCTTCACGATTTTCTCGCGGAGAACCAAATTAAAATAAAAGGAGAAGGTGAGTATCTATCATACCTTCGAGTATTCCTATACATATAACGGTATCTGATTATTCAGTTGCATCCTGAACTATATCCTATAACAGCTACGAGTTCCGTATCACCTATACAACATCCCTTAGCATCTAGGCATCTTATAGGATCTGGGAATCCTAAGTGGGGAAAATGGTGGACGGTGGTTTTGAGGACTGATTTAATTGCAGTTCAGCGGCAGAGGAACGGCATCTACAGTAAATTTTCCAAGTCAGAAATGGGAACCTCTGTAAGAGGTTCATTTTCTAGATCATTTCACTCCCAATCACTCTCTCAATGAGAAAAAATCAAATCCAACTATTCATATGAGATTGAATGCATGGTGTTCGTAACACTTACAACCAAGGTGATGTATTTCCCAATAAAAACGTTTTGCACATATTCTCAGGAAAAATGATTATGTCGTTTAAGCTCCCAAAAAACATGACTTTGTGATAAAAACCTAAATAATATTTAGTGCATAATCATATTTATTGGCTTTCAAAGAAACGAAACGAAATATAGAGTAACCTAATATATTATACAACATGAACGGTTGATACTAACTTTAAACATTGCTGCGATCATGTCTTTTGAAGTGATTTCTTCATGTGAACATGCGGGAACGCAACTGATAGAGGTACGCCAAAGTGACGCTAACAAAAGTAATATTTTCAAAAAATGTTGAATAAATAAACCCACATGCGTCGAGTGAAGCGACGCCGTGAAAAAATAGGCATGAAACCGCCAGTTAATTTTGTTTATGTTTGCAATTAACACCTCCACAAGCTATAAGTATGACTCTAATTTAAGATTTTTCAAGCTCTGCTCCTGGATGCAAAACCTACGGTCATAAAAGTGCCCACATCTCGCGCCGCAAAATTTTCCGTCGCCCTGAGAGTGAGTATGGTAATTTCCCAGTTATAAGAATTTGATTTTATTATAACTATCTTAGACAATAAATTTTGCACTCATTTGGTTTAGATAAAAAATGTCTTTTGAAAAAATACATTAATTACATTAAAAGTTTCAGAGATTTTTTACAGTTCCCTCTTGATGTAGTGATCTTAGAAGTTATCAAGTTCCCTGTTCAAGTTTCCACCCTGATTTCAAGTTCAATATTTATCATCCAGAATTTCATGTTGGGTCTCTGATATGTTTAAAAAATTGCGCGAACATCATTGTGAGTTCGAAAAAATAACTTTTCAAAGCTATTCAGGATTCATTTCATATGCTTTGCATTCAAGTTTCCACTTGATAAGGGAATTTTCGTTAACCCAATAATTTTATAACCAGGTTAAAAAATTCATAACTCGTAAATTGGGCTATGATTCTTGTCAGGATATCGACAAATTTTCCTTGGATTTTGAGTAAATTTTAAAGGACATCCCGTCCTTTCATATTGCTAGTGCATATATTTCTTATTTTCTTGTGTTAAAGAATATCAGAATTTGTTCTTAAATTTGCGTCACCAGAGTACACGCGATTCCAGAGAACACGCAATTTTATAAACAGAGTCAGGAAAACTGGAGATTTTTTTTCTGTTTTCAGTTTGTGAATAGCCGAGATAAATTTTACCCTAGACGCTCCCCTTAACACAATAATTTTATGATCAGTTTAAAAAATTAATAACTCGTAAATTAGGCTATGATTCCTGTCAGGATATGGACAAATTTTCCTTGAATCTTGAGTAAATTTTAAAAGACATCCCATCCTATCATATTGCTAGTGTACATAGTTCTTATTTTATTTTGTTAAAGAATATCAGAATTTGTTTTTAAATTTGCGTCACCAGAGTACACGCGATTCCAGAGAACACGCGATCTTATAAACAGAGTCAGGAAAACTGGAGATTTTTTCTTTTCTGTTTTCAGTGCAAGGACGTTTCTTCGGTGGTGACGGTGAACTGTAATTTTTCCGACGTTTCATTGACGCTCGACTTCCAAGGGCAGGAGATGGTTAACCTCTCCAGGTACAGAGCTCATGAAAGTGCAATACCCTCTGAAATATCTGACCGAAACTGCTAGTGAAAATCAAGGTTTACTTGAGTACAGAAAAGGGGGCGGGAAAAACTCGTTTTAAAGCTACTCAAGATACTTTTTGAATTTTTGAAAAATATAAATAAATTTATACGATAAAATAATAGATTTGGACTGAACCATTAATACTTGATCGTGCATAAATAAAGTTTAATAACTACCTGCCTGTGTCCAGCGACGCGCGGTTCGCAGGCACGCCCCTGCAGTACCGCTTCACGAGCCACGGCTCCTACACGGCCGCCCTGCAGGTCTCTCTGCGCCGCCCCGGCGGTGAAATACGCTGCGTCGCCGCCGCTGTCGCGCCCGTTCACTGCCGTGAGTACTTGCATATCCCTAACAAAATTTAGAGTCGCCCCAGCTTCTGGTACTCCAAATCAGAAGCTGACGAGTCTGTAAATTTTCACTGGCACAGTCGCCGTGGACGTTTTCCTGTAAAATACCGCAAACTTTCGACAGAAACATCAGTATTGGACGTCATGGGTGTTTTTGACGGGAAATACAGTAATGATTTTGTCAATACAGTAATGTCATGGTGAATGTCACGATAAATGATTTTGGTGGCATCATAACTCAAGTCGGTAATGCTCGGTAAATGTAAATACTTGAAGTCTGCCGTCAGTATAGAGAGAGATGGCCTGGATGGCGAAGATTAAAAATTCTGCGTGCATGCGCCAATGAATGCCATGATAAATGACTAGATAAGTCACGACAGATGCCATTCTAGTCAATTAAATTGTAGCACTATATTTAGACTGCCGTAATTCGTATGCTAGATGCCCTTGGCGTCATACACGACAGCAGTCAACAGATCACAGTCGTGTATATGTTTGATCAAACGTCATAATAATTCCACTCATATTAAAGTGTTAGAATAATTTCACTAATACTAGCAGACTGCTGTAAGTGATGTAAATCCAACCCTGTATAGCATGAGGTATAAATGCCTCGCCCGTCTGATAAATACAAGAATAGCTGTTGAGTCCTACTAATTTTATGAATGGTCGATAAATTTCGAGTGTGTGAGGTACAATTTGTTAATGTGAGAAAAAACAATAGGTTATAGTTAATGGACTGAGTAAAGTGTTATCTGTTAATGAGAAGCAGCAGTGCCAAATAGTTTTTTTAACTTTGTTATTTTTTAATTTGTTTATAAATTCGAAAAAAATTTAAGAAAACTCCCGAAAATTTTTTTCAAAAACAAAATTATTTTATTTAATATTACTTCTATTGCCGATGTCGAATAATTTACTCTCAGTTGTAGCTGATTTTCCATCGTAGCAGTTGTTGCCTTCAGTCCTTTAGCTCAACTACGTAGGATTGCCGATCAATTAATAAATCGCGCATTAATTTCAATGAAACTAACGTAAAACGATGCTGCTGCCCTCTATAGCTTGCGGGGAGCCGCCATATGCCACGGCGGCAGATGGAAGCCGAATTATCGGCGGCCACCTGAGCCAGGAAGGCCAACTGCCGTGGATGGCGAGCCTCTTGTACAGGTGACCGAATGATTCAGTCGAGTAGCGGCTTAAATTTCAAACAAACTCTCTTAATATTAACTCCCTCAAAACTCTGACTTATTAAAAATTTCTGTGGTAATATAATTTACATTTATGTAAATTTCCATATTCTCGATTCTGCTCAATTTCTGTATTCAAATGCCCAAGAGAGTTGATTTCAGGCAGCTGATATTCTCTGATATTTTCTTTTTGATAGTCAAGAAATTCCTCACCATGACATTTGCATAACAAGCAAAGTAATCGGCCAAATCTTCTCATAATAATTTAATTCAAAATTTTGCGTGTCATTTCATGCACACAATCTGAACTAAATAAAAAGCATTGAATTCTTACGTTATGTCTCGCCTACAAAAAATTTAGCGCCCGCAACCCGGTGCTAATTGGAATTCAATTTGAGCAAAAAAATGTATTACCTTAAACTTTCACTCACATTAAATTAAAACTTTATAGAGGAGTAAGCTTTAAAATTGTGTCCATATGCCACTGTTCAAATTATAATGATAGGAAGACTTATAATCAACAAATGCGGTCTTAAATACAATACAGTCTTAATTTTATTCTCAGAGGACTTTATGGCAATAAACATTTCTGTGGTGCCTCTGTCATCAGTCGACGCTGGCTCCTGACGGCAGCTCACTGCGTTAAGCCGTCAGTATTGTTTGTTATATTACATATTATGTTAGATTACAGAACACATTTCATTATATTTATATTAGTCAGGCCTTGATAAATAATTGAAAGGTACCTATAACCACTTAAACTTAGCGTCCGTGTCGTTGATAGTGCCATTCAGGTGTGATCCGTGCAAGCGTTTTAAGAACAATACTACTCTGTACAGGTCAGCTCAACAATGATCCACAATAGTCGGCCAACAGCTAGAAATTAATCAGCATACATTTGCATTACAATATGAATAATAAACCATCAAAAATAGACACACCTAAATAATACATGAATTTTTGAAATGGTGTACCGAAAATTTATTACTTCTACATTAGAAACACAAAAGTCAGAAAAAGTCCTGAAATTATTTTTCATAGTTGGATTGTTTTAACGGTCCAATATGTCAAAAAAATAACTTTCGATACCAAAAATAATGTCGGTTGCTCACTACAATGTTCCAGGTTGCCTTTTAAGGATTCGTCGCGCTTGGCAGCGATGGTTGGGGTCACCGACTTGTCCAAAACTAACTCCGGGAAACTGTTGATGGTGAAGACAATAATCCCACACCCGCGTTACGATGAAGGTGAGTGGTTGTTGGTAGCTGCATCACATTAATATCACTGTAACTGATGACTTATTAAGTGAAAGATATTATGTTGGGTTATAGCTGCCACAAGATCTTTATTGCATTTCTTAGAATACAAGCATATAGAATCGTTCCAAAATTCAGGAAATGCTATAGGCTCGCTCGATATTTGTTAGCGAATTTAAACTATTTAACTGAGTCTCAAACTGCGCATAAGGCAGTTGAAAAAATATTTGATTTTTAAATTTGCAAATTGCAAATCTTCTGTTTAGTTTAAAAACCATAGGGTAATTAGAAATATGCACAATTAGAATGAAATTTTCCTATAGGCTTTTATAATTCAAGTTTTATTCATCGGGATGACTCAAGTAAAGTCCCCAGGAGAAGCACGTGTGTGTCATTACACAATAATCAACCGTATCTCGGTATCAGGAGTGTCATAAATAATTGCCTATATACCTGCGTCTCTGTGGCGCAGAAGTTCAATCGAGTCAGGTTAAGTTATTGGAGTTGAAAGAAGGATTAGTGAGTGTTCTCGGGACGAGTGCTAATTGGTGGATTGATCTCGGGATGATTGGTGATTATGAATATAGCAAAAAATTTTGGAAATAAGTATCCGTGGTAATGATTTGATTACAGATCGAATGACTAACGACATAGCGATATTGGAGGTGGACAGTGACATTTACGACAAAGGCGATGGTCGCGTTCGCCCGATTTGTCTGCCATCTGATGACCTCATGATCGACAACATGGCCGCAACTGTCGCTGGCTGGGGGCTTGTCACGGATGGTAAGTTGAAACCCATCTACATATTTGAAAAATATAGAGCGATTCCGAAATCCTTAAATCCGGACCAGAGGTGAAACTGAGTAATTAAAAATCACTCATAGACACTGTCACGAACGCAATGTTCAGCTGGATGGTGCACAACACAGTGAGATGGTATGGAAAGTGGCTGGTTCACACGAAAACTCCTGCCGCGAGGTTCAGAAACCCGGATGTAGAAGATACGTGATGTCATTCCGACGTACGCTGATGCGCAACGCGCACAACTATATAAAAGATCCTATTTGACTGCATCCTGGCAGAAATAACGCCTTACAACCGAAAATAGAACTAAATTTGCAATAGTTCACCAGCGAAAGATACTAGATAACATTAAAAAAATAATTCGGAAAGAAAACTTGTAATTCTCTTGATATTGCTTCCGACGAGCTAATAAAGTAGAGGACAGTACAATGAATAATATTTCTACTATCAACATAACTATCTGAATCCGAATATTTTTAGTAATAGAGCGCTTTCTTTTACTAAACGTATGGCATGGTAACAACCCATCCAGGTTTATGACTAATAGATACATTATCCAAACAATTGAAAATCCTATAACTGTAGTATTTTCTGTATGTTAACTTGCAGGTTTTGTTGGTGAATAATTTCGAAATTAATTTTTTCTGCTTTTAAGAGGATGTTATTCCTGCCCGGGTGATGTCATCTTCTTTAGTAATATAATTTGGCTCCTTGCGCTCAACTATATAAAGAATTCGTGAATTTATTTGGCTTTCTCTTTGCTATTAAATTTATGGCAATTTAGTGATTTTAGCAGACTAATGATATAAGTACTTCTGCAGAATTATCATTAATACGAATGCTTCATTAATTTAACATTATGTAATACCCGATAATCAGTGATATGCGAAAAAAAATCCCCTGGAAATTTTATCTCATGAAGTGTTGATAGAAAATTCCTTCGTTCGTGATGAATTTGCATCGGTGATGACTCGACCGTGCCTACCGCAGGTGGTGAGGCGTCCTCCAAGCTGCTGACGGCGACGGTGCACATCCTGTCACGTGAGCGCTGCAAGCGGCTCTACGCTGGGGGAGGGCACGACGAGGATGAACACGACGAAATTGATCACGAGGAGCATGAAGATGATGAGGATGATCACGATGAGGATGATAACGATGAGGATGATAACGATGAAATTGATCACGAGGAGCATGAAGACGATGAGGATGATCACGATGAGGATGATCACGATGAGGATGATCACGATGAAGATGATCACGATGAGGATGATCACGATGAGGATGATCACGATGAGGAAGATCACGATGAGGAAGAGCACGATGAGGATGATCACGTTGATGATGAGGACGAACACGATGAGGACGAACACGATGAGGTCGAACACGATGAGGACGAACACGATGAGGACGAACACGATGAGGACGAACACGATGAGGACAATTACGATGAGGACGAACACGATCAGGTCAAACTCGATGTGGACGAACACGATGAGGACGAATATGATGAGGATGAAAACGATGGAGATGTACAAGGCGAAGATGAACAAGATGAGAATGAAAATGAGGAGCATGAATACTCTCATGATGATCGCGAAGAAAACGAATACGATGAAGATGATAGTGAAGAGCATGAATACGATTCGAATGAAAGCGAAAAGTACGAATACGATGATAAAAATGAGGAGCTTGAAGACAATGAGGATAATTACGAAGAGCATGAATACTATGAGAATGAAAATGATGAACGCGAATTCGATATTTCCAACGAGATTACCAACGAATTCGAGGATGCTGACAGTAAAGAACCAAATAATTCAGAACAACAATACGGCAACAATGATGAAGGCGACGATGAACATGACCATGCAGACGATCATGAAGGAGATCGTGACGATGAACGTAAAAACGGTCGTGAAAACTCCTATAAATACGACCATGACAACAACTCTGCTGATGACCACGAAAACGACCATAAAGACGACTTTGAAGACGACCATCACGGCGAAAGTGAATACGATGATCACGATTCTATCAGAGATAAACAAACGAAAAGCTACGATGAACATATAAATCACGTCACAACAGACTATGACGCCGATTACGATGAACAGGAATCCGATAGAAAGCATCAGAAGCATTTCATTCCACACAAACGTTCCTTAAAACTCAACTTGGGGCTAAGATCTGAGGTCAAGAGAGGCGCAATCAGGGCCGTAAATCTGCCACGGGCGTGGCTGGGAATTGCTCCCCGAGTGCCTGCCGTAAATCGGCCGTGGCTGCCAAGAAACACGAGGGTGTCTCAGAATCCGGACCTCGGAGACCAGGTTATATGCGCCAGCAACTTCCACGTCTCCGCCGACGCATGCCAGGTACCACACGCTTCAGAAGTCAGGTACCACACGCTTCAAAAGTCTGGTACTACACGCTTCAGAAGTCAGGTACCACATACCACACGCTTCAGAAGTCAGGTACCACATGCTTCAGAAGTCAGGTACCACACGCTTCAGAAGTCAGGTACCACACGCTTCAGAAGTCAGGTACCGCACGATTCAGAAGTCAGGTACCACACGCTTCAGAAGTTCCAATTTGAATGGATTTGCCCTGGTTCTAATTACAGGGACCTTTTCTTGCTCTACAAAAATACTAGCAAATCATCTTCTATTTCCCGGTCCAATGATAATGTCACTAAAACATTTCTCAACGAATATTTTGAGTTGAGATTCCAGTAATCGCTCAGTTATCGTTGGATTTAAAAAAAATAACGTATTATAATAATTTTGAGATATGCTAGAATTTATTCCTGTTATTCATTATCGCAGGGAGACTCGGGAGGCCCTTTGATGAGAGAGGACGACCGGGGGCGCGTGGTGCAGCTGGGGGTGGTCTCATGGGGCCTGGAGTGTGGAGACCCTAACAAGCCAGGAGTCTACGCCAGAGTTTCCAGTGAGTATTTTTAGCGCATTTTCTCATTTATGGAAAAAATGGACTATTGTGCTCGTCATGTCCTTCTGTCCGTCCGTCCGTCCGTGACTTCACGTTTTCGTCGACTAGAAAATGCGCTCTCTGCCACTCAAGGCAGTGAGTCCTGAGTTATATTTTTTGTATTTTTTTTTGTTGACGAATGAATGGTTCTTGAAGTGCGATAGCTCATGTCAGTGATTGTATAGAAAGGAATGTGCTGGAATGACTCCAGTACATGCCTTCATGGTTGGCATTACCTTCACCGGGGTTGACTTTGGCAATTTATTTTTTTATGTTACAAATTATTGGTCATCTAAGTCATCTCTATGCTGGTCAATTCGTGCCATAATCAAGTGTCAATCAAGACTTTTAGACTTAACGAAAGCTTAATGAAAACTAACACACAGGCTATATTGCCTATTATTTGAATAGCGAAGAAAGAAATGAAAGATCAGTGTCAATAATACTGAACGACATTGTTTTTCCAATTAATAAATGTTACAATATCAATGCTAACTAGCAGTTGAAATACTACTACAAATAGTTAGATTGTTTGAACATTTATATTGTTTCATTTTTCTAATTGGGGTTTTTCATAAGTACTCACATAGGTTACTGTACTGTCATGTTCTCTACAGTGGGCCATACTTTCAAAACTCGCAAAGTGAACATAAGTACTTACGCTCTATTCTCTTGTCTATGATTGGTATATTTTGCTTGAAAGGCCGTCAATGATTGGCTGATGAACATACGATCTCTTAACTTTTTTTGAATGTATGGGCCCTGGTAGTAACGCTTCTTTGTTATCTGCCTTACAGAGTACATCAGCTGGATCAGGAGTCTGGTGCACGATGCGCCTCAATGCGGTTGATTTTATACAAGTAAAACTAAACAAGCGTGCGCATTGTGTGGGAGAATAAGATACAATCGAAGCAATACACTGAATTATACTGCCCTGAATATTTGATTTTCCCTTTTCTATCAGTTTGACTGATTGAGATCAATTTTACTGAGAGTGAAAAACTATTGAATTAGGTAATCGTAACGATCATATGAAGAACTTTCATATATTATGAGTTTTTCTATTTCTGTCGATATCAAAATATATTCATTGCATGTATTTGCCGCATCGTGCAGCACATTGTACATACTAGACAATGCATGTTATTCAATTAGGAAAAATTTGCGATTGAAGGTAAGATTACATTTTATGGAAGGATTCAAGGTAAGATTACATTTTAGGGAAGAATTGAAAGTAAGGATTGGGAAGGTAAGGAAGGATTGGGAATAACTGAAATGATATTTTCAAGTTTACCTCGAGTTTTCAAGTTTACCCAAGTTTACCTCAAGTTTACCTCAAGTTACCTCGATTTTGCCAAGGCATTTGACAGTGTCCCACATGAGCGGTTGTTGCGTAAATTGAAGTCTTTGGGAATTGAGATATTTATCTTTCACTTACAACTTATCTTCTGTTTACTTTGGTTAGCAGCATTGTATTATGTTCAAAAGTATCCAGGTTTATTCAAGTGAAATAGTTTTCAATGCGAGCTATAAGTGTTTTTCGCTTTTCTCTACTGTGTTTTTGTTTGAAAATTGTTGAAAATTTTCGAATAATCAAAGAAGCCTAAAAATCAAACAATTTTTAATCTTCATTCCGAATTTTTGAGCAAAGCAAACTAAAGTTCTTTTAGTCACCCTGTTGAATAAATAATTTAAGTTGAAAGATACGAATATACAGTATAACCAGAGATCGGCTATCAAGGCGAAATAGAATTGAGTCTGAACGCAGTTAGCTTTTTAATTAAATAAACACGACAAATGTACGATTGGTAAGAAAAAGTTATATCAATCAATTTTTCCGTTTTGGTATTACAAATAATACAAATTTTGGGGTTGAAGTCGAACGCAGCGTATTTCCCGACACAGACATTGGGTGCGCGTAGAGGCATACCTCCGCCGCTATATTCAGGAGTTGCCTGGCTGTTTACAGATCAATCAGAGCCGCTCGATATCACAGCTTCATACATCCCCGACTCGAAATCTTCGCAGGAATATCGGTGGCCACCCGATGTATTATGGCGGCCACCGATCATTCAAATTTGGTATTCAGTTGTGCACATCAGAGGTCTGATGCTCTGCCAAACTTTGTTTTTGTAGAGATGAAAATATTTGGACTGAAAGCAGATCGCGCGAAGGGTGGAGATGGGAACCTTCAGTGATAAGGGAACCTTGATGATGCTAACACAACTTGGGAGAAAGATTATGTTGAAACAATGGTCGTAAAAACAATCTTGCTATTTTGATGCATGATAACTCTCAGTGGGTAAGAAGACACACTGTTTATTAGTAAATGAGTTACATTCGTTCCTTTATAGTGAGTTATAAACTGCGACAAACGGTAGCGTCGCTTCTGTCATAACAACTGCTATAGGTGTAAACTTCGAAGAACGTCGTCCATAGTTTCTCTTACGTCAAAAAGTCATGAATTACTCAAGCCGTTTTACTTTTTTACGCATAAATACTTCTAATTTCAGTCGACTAATTGAAATTCTTTCACATGAATGTCAATGCGTTAAAAAGTTTATTTTCATGCAATTAAGGCACTAGCGAATTTTATCGTCAACCTCAAAATAAATAATGCCGTAAGCTTGCGGACTCCCTCTCTTCAAAAATTAATCTTTGAACATTTAATTGTGCATGCACAAAACATTATTTTGCATAAAAATAACACGTAATTTAATCGATGGCGAATGATAGCAAATTAGCCAAGCTGAAGATACTGAATGGCTGTGATTAGCAGCCATTGATTAGTTCATTACGCTGGCATAATAGTTAGATAACTTATGTTAATAGAATCTTTAATAATTAGTTCATACGTTCCAATGGAAATCGACGAGTGTTTCATGGTTTAATGATGAAGAGCGCGAAAACTTGCGATCGCTAAACTAAAAACCCTCACTCTACTAACCTGATCACGTTACAGGAGTTCAAAACTGAAAATAATCAGATTTTATTTTAACAAAAAAACACTAAATGAAAAAAATTATGGCACGTCCTACATTAAACCGCATTCGGAAATAATTTCACTGTTACTTTATTGCCTCGTAGAAGTTAATCTTCAGGTAACCGGAATAGGGGCTTCGTTTTACGAGTACTAAATTAAATTGAGCTTTTATCTTAGGTTTAAACGCTACTGTGTGACAAGGCGGTGGGCACACAAACACACATATAACGCTGACGGCAAAGATTAATACATTGTATTCAATACATGTAGTTTCAAATGGCGTAATACATCCAGAAAAGATGGCCACAGATTGGATGCGAGCTTCAAGGCATATAGTAGTCATACATGATTATAATTGTTTAGTTGTTAGCCATGTTTGAGATAGCATATTTGAAACCTTATCGTTATCAAGTTTAAAATTCATGCTGGTACATGAGTATATATTGAGTTATCAAGTTTAAAATTCATGCTGGTACATCAATATAATGAGTTATCAAGTTTAAAATTCATGCTGGTACATCAATATAATGATTTATCAAGTATGTTCCCACCCCCATAAATCTTGTAATTCGAGTGGACAATATTTTATTGTTACTCCTTCCATTGCAACAAAACTTTTAATTCAGGTTGATATTTTATCATTATGAACCCAGCCACTACCACGAAATTAACAATTATTGCTGAAATTATTATCAATTAAATAAAGTTTTTTTTTATAATTCTAGGGTATGTTTTCCAGCTTGAATATGCTAGGGGAGCCAGAACAACAACTGAAGAGAACGAATTAAAATTAAAGTAAAAGGAACGTAGAAGGATGCTTCAGAAGTAGCAAATATTAAATTGATTACATTAAAAAATTAATTTAATTGATTGTTGAAATTAAATTGATTAGAAGAATTAATTAGTTGATTCGATTGCACTTCGACTGACAAAAATGATTATCCCTCATTGTTGCGCTAAATGGCTTAATTAGCTCGCTATTTATGTTAGAATATCTATTGTAATGAGCTACTATCATGAAAAAGCATTCTAAATATAAATGATGAAACCGACTGATGTAAACTCAGTCCAATATATCCTAGAGTAGCTTCAATCAATATCTTAGTTGATTCCAGGTACGCCTACGTAAATTTCACTTTAATTAGTTTGTTTTCTAAATAACGAGGTAATGTTTCGCGACCTGTACATTGTGCACTGTACATTGCGTACTAATGTTATGTACCATACATTGTGTATTGTAAATATTGTACTGTTAACTGAATACTATGCATTGGTGCATAATAATATTGTTCAGTAAAGTTATTACTGTGCATTGTACCTTATATTATATATTATCCAAACAGCAAAGTTATAAGCTTATTACTATACATTGTGGACCGTATATTTTGTATAATCCAAACTTACAAGGAGTAGAAATTGTCAACTCACACGACAAACGCTGCACACTCCCATGGGCAGAACCGGCGCCCCGCTGGATATCTGGAAAATTTGTGGGTTGGGTTGCACTTGTGCGTTGTGCATCCCGTAGCCCGGGTGGGGGGAGTACGCTGGTGGGGGAGGTGGGGGCGGTGGGGGAGGGACGCGCCCAAAAGGGTAGCCCTCGTCGTACTTCTCGCTCTCGGCCGCGGGCTCTTCAGACATCGCGCAAAAACACTGGCGAAAAGCAAAAAATCTTAATGTTAGATATTCGCTCAATCAAGATCTTCAAGTGATAGACTATGAGGGATTCACATCAATTATTAAAGAATAAAACTCGGAGCTGAGTATCTCGAAATGATGTTTATAGTTAAGTTAGCCCATATATAGACTGCGTTAGTTCATTGGGTGCCTTGTAGGGCAGCGGTGAGGCTATATGCAATGTCTAAAGTTAGTTATGGGCTAGTGAGAGGGAAGATAGTGTGAGGAAAGATAGAGAGAGGGAAGAGAGTGTGAGGAAAGATAGAGAGAGGGAAGTCAGTGAGAGGGAAGATAGTGTGAGGAAAGATAGAGAGAGGGAAGACAGTGAGAGGGTAGACTGATGGCGATGTTGACCTTTTTTGGCTTCAAACGGCTGCTGATCATTAACCAGACTCTTGCAAATCAAGTTATTTTTAACGGGCGCAAAGACAGATACATGAGGCGGGGCGCATGTCGGAGGCCAGCTTCGCCCATCTTTACCCTTTAATCATATTGCTCTACGTCGGTAAGAGCGCTAGAGGGGATAACAGCCTATGAAGTCTAGTTCTTGAAGCCATACCGCCTTATGCCCACAGCACCCTTTCAAGAATTCCCAAGTTTTGCATGGTCATACGGCATCTGACGAAACCTATTCCAGCTGAACCTCTTCTGGTCCAACCTACACACGCTGCAACATTTTGCTGCACAAAACGAGTCTGAGCGGACGTAACCTAACCTCATTGGCTGCTGGACGTTTGATAGGAGGAGCAAGTGAGTAGGTAGAGCCAGTCATCGGCTGTAAGAAGGTTGTGAGTCGGGGCAGCGTGTATAGGTTAGGCCAGAAAAAGTTAGGCCATAGTAGGTGAGGCTGGATGCAGAACTGGCTGTCATGAGCGAGCATGCATAAGTTTTGGCTGAAGATCTACGGCGCTATTATCTTTAATCAGTGTTTTACAGATGCGGATCACGGTGTTCCAGCGTAGACTGCGGCTTCTAATTCTAAGGATGACTAGAGTTAATGCATGCTGAGGCTGAGCGTTGGCTCCATGGCTTATAGTTGATGGTTAAATTTTTTGTTCACGGCTGTGCCCCAATGAGGAGAGTGATTACGATAAAGAGACAAGGATTTCATCGAGATAGGATGTGGGTATTGGAGGTAAGTGAGGTTTATAATATAATAGGACCTGAATTATGAGGTTAAAAATTAAAAAAAAATAATTTTCTCTGAATATTATATGCATAGAGGAGCCTTTTCATATAAAGCCACTAGCCAAAATCTTGCTACCGAGCATCA